ATTGATGATAATTTGATTATGTGAGTGTTAGCACTATATAAATCAAGCAAACGACGATACAAAACAAAACACGAACCTTATACTTGCATTGTTAGTCATATTGCAATGAGACGTAAATAGTTGTATATCCACTTAAAGATTGAGTTGCATGCATGCATGGGTTCTTATATATTTAGCCATTGATTATTATGACATTTTCATATTTACTCCCCTACTAGTAACTTTGGAATCGAAAGGAGGAAAACACCCAAGAAAACGCTAATAATATGAAACCTGCCTGAGCCTGTCGTCCAATACATTAAATATTATATGAATGGAGAATGAAACGTTATTAGAAATTAAAATCAAACACTCATTGCATGATAGAGTGAAATATACGTATGTAGGAGATTCTGCAAAAATGTTGAATTTCCAACCTTAAGAACCCTTCACACTCCTGACAGAGCATTTGGGAGGATGTAAATCACATGCAGCGATTTAATGATTCAGCAGACATGGTCAAATGCTGGTGTGCACAAAGAATCTGCTCACTTTAGACATAATCTTTACACTATTGCTGTCGAGCTTCAAACCTTTGTCTCTTGTATCAAATATTGTCTACTGAACCATTGAGTTAAGTCTATGCTGGCATAATTCGTTACGAATTCCGTCTCTCACATTCATTCGCGGTGCGTTGAACCTTTTTTGTGTGCATTGGGAGTGGGGATAAAGTACAATATAATGCAAGCTGAAACGAGAAAACAGTTCCACTTGAAATTAAGATAGACCATATCGTATGTCGGCGTCGTGGTTGGAAAACAGGCGTAAGTTGTCGGGGATACAAATTTTGATGGCAGATTTTAGAGCAGCAGAAGGCGATAGAGCGGCCCATGACCTGTGGCAGGTAGGGGTTTAGCTGCAACAAATGGTGGCAGAAAGGGGCTGCAATAATGGATGGATCTTTATTGATTTGGGTTAAAAACGTGAAAAGGTAAAAGGGATATTGATGCCAACATGAAAAGGTAAAAGTGAACGAGCAGAAGGGAAAATGTTGGCTTGAAAATGGTGAACAAATATATAAATAATGTATATTTATTCATTGGGGTTTGGTTGATGGAGCTATGGGGTGATGAATAATGGTGCCTGTTTTTAACTATGGCTGATTGGCATATAGGCTGTCATGACTCTCATAATTCAGTTTTGGCATCCAATTCAATGTGGGTGTGATGTTACATTATTGGAACAACTTATTATTTTTTTGCTATAATCACAATCAGAGATTCCTCCATTTTCTTTTTCTTTTCTTGCACCACATTCTATCCAATATGCATATATATATATATATGCTCAAGGTTTACTATACGGTGTTTGAATGTTCTTAGCTTCCATCCTGTCTACAACGATTTCTTATAAATGTCACCATTACGGCTTTATTGCACCCACTAAGGCTGCAAGTTTTTAATCTTTGAGCGTTTTTTGAGTTTGATCGTTTTTTAAAAATGTGTATCGAAATTAAAATATTATTATATTATATTTTGAATTTACAATGCATGACGTGTTTTTGCCGCTGTTGTTATACAGAACGTAGAAGAATATAGGCTAGAGGTTCCTTGACCTGATTAGCTAGTATAGAAAGGTAGGTGGCTCCGACCATGTATTTTATGCATGATCAAAAGATTATATTTAAGATTTATATTACTTAAGTATAAGATCTATGACAATTAATTATTTGCTCAAATTGGTCAAATGTGATTACAAATGATAATACATGTTTGAAACTTAATATGAAGTATCTTAAATTTGATCTATGTTTGATCTCATAAAATATTTTGGGCAAAGAACACAAGTTCTGTTGTTTTTTCTCAAACAAAAACAAATTTAGTCAATTAAGGTTGCTTTCATGTTTCAAACTTCAAACCCACAAATACTCTAGTGGTATACATTTGGATTATAGTTGGAAATTTTGACTCTTGAGATTTGAGAATATAATGAGCATTTTGTGTACTTTGACTTGTGGACTTTGACATTTTCATAGGCTTCCTTTGACGCGTACGTGTGTGGATATATATATATATATAATGAGAAATCACTCTTTAAGTAAAAATGTAAGAACTAACATGAATGAACACAATTTACTTCAGAGTAGATTGTGTGCATTCATGTAATAGTTCGTAAGTTCTCACTTGAACACAAGCCTATATATATTAGAACTAATATATATTTATAAATCTTATACGAACCTAGATATACCAATTCTTGTTGCACAATATCATAGGGAAACTCAAAAACTTACAAATTAAATTATATTGAATTTATATATACCCTTGAGATGATGTCATTCAATTAGTGCACATATTAGTCTCTTGTAATATTTTATATAAATAAACATATTTAATCGAGTACAACACTTGATCTTTTTAGATCAACATTCTTATCGCTTTCAATGATTAGTATATTCAAATTGTCTTTGTTTGGACAAAAGTATCCAAAAGAGAATAACAACGGATTGTCTTTTCTAGTTTTTAATAAGAAAAATGTGGATTTTAGAGAACTTGGCCCTGCAAACAAATTTGAAATAATAAAAATGTTCTAAAAAACATTAATATTATAATAAATATGCAAGTTTTGAAATAACAAAAAATGTAAAAACAGAAAACAAAACAAAAAAAATGTTTGTTTAAAGTTTAATTTATTATTACATTTGTCTTATTTTACATATTATGCTTAATTGCTTACTATGTACAGAGTATTAGTTAAACCAACTATTTATTAATTGCTTATTTTATTTTTTATTTTTAATTATTTTAAATTTGATTTATTTGTGTTTAATAATATTTTTAATGTAGTTTATAAATATATAAATTTCATATCTTAATGTTAAATTTAATATTATGACAAATTTGATTAAAGATAATTTCAGTAAAGCCTCGTTAACTGAATTATACACATAAAATGGATAAATGGAGTATATAATATACATATAAAATTAATTAAATACAATTTTAATTAAGATTTGTAATTGAGGTGCATTATGACAACTATTATTTAAAAAAAAAAAAAAAACACTATAGTAGTGGGGCATTAATTTTTTGGGTCTAAAAAAGTAGTTGCTAAAATATATAACAAATACTATCTTGTAAAGAATTATGAGTATTTCAAAAAAAAAAAATATTGATATTTTTATGAATATAAAGATAGTTATTTATTATTTATAAAACTATAATTGCTTATTTTTATTTATTATGTCTAATTAACGTTGTTATTAAAAAAATTGTTTAGTTTTTTTTTTTAATAATAAATATGTGCTATAGTACTCTAATCAATAAATACAAACTAAAAAGTATTCTTTTTCTTTCTCTTTTTACATACTAAAAAAAACTCATGATTCTTAAAATGTAGAATTTGTCATTTGGAAGTATAATAGATATGTCATCTTATTACATAGTAATTGGACTCTTTTTAGTTACTTGATTATAGCAATATTATTACTTTCAGCCACCTACTTTGATTTTTTATTTTTTATTTTTTATTTTAGTTCACTTATTTTTTCCAGTCTTTAATTCGTGTAGTCCTGTTTGACTTTTCTCCAAGAAAATTTAAAAGTAATTGTCATTACATAAAAATTTCAGCAAAATTCATCTTTTTACATTTGAGAATAACTATCCAATACACATCCTAAATAAAAAAAGAAAACTAATGTATTCTGTAAATGTTTATGATAAAATTTAGTGTTTGAAGTTAAAATCATGTTTGATAACATAGTTAGCTTATCGGTCAATTTTGACTTATTTGATTACTATTAACTGTTTGACTTGGTTAAAGAATCAATATGAGTGTTTGATTAATTAGATTTTTTTTTTTTTTTTTTTTTGTAACAACTTATTGTTTTAAAATGCTAAAATTTTAAAAACTGTTTAAAAAAAGTACGATAAATTTTTTGGGAATGTCATTTTGTATATAATCAACTATTAGTTAACATTTAATTTATCAAACATTTTTTTTACAATCAGTTAATGCTATCAACTAGTCAAACCCACTAATCCAATCAGTTAACAACTATTTACCAAACAACCCTTGAATCAACCCTGGGAACAAACTAAGCTCCAAATATAAGAACTTGATTGCAACAATAATACTACATAACATTATTAATGCTTGAGATTGTGAAATATTGTATATTACTATATGGAATAATATCACGTATCTTATTATGAAGACAATATTTATACTTATTATTGGAAGGTGAAATCGTCTTCGACCATTTTAAGTAGTTTCATTATGGCTACGCTTCTATTATCTAACTAGTTAATTAAACTTGTACTACATCGCGAATATATAATCCGAGTGCAAATCTTATACGGTATCTGGACAATAGTATAATTATAGTAATACTAAAGTATCATTTTAATTATAATATTATAGTTTCATTTGTAATATGTTATGTTTTTAGTTTCAATTTTTTACATACACTAGTTTCTTTATAATAACACTAAAATATTATTTTAATTATACTATAATTTCATTCGATGATCATAATTTGTACCGTGATGTGTGGACCATGGTTAACTGTATAACAAATGTCCAAGGTCACCTTATTTCAATTGTCTTAATCCAAACTCAAGTCGGCACGGGTTGAGTTTAATTGTTCAGTAGGCAGTATTTGAGAGAAGAAACTAAAATTCGAAAATCATAATTTATATCATTTCAAATGTTTCGTCGAGTATAGGTGTAAGAGGTCCTTGAGGTTGGTTGTTTTCGATTTCACGCTATAAATAAATTAAAGCGTGCTCCATCTCAACTGGTCCTTGAGGTTGGTTGTTTTCGATTTCACGCTATAAATAAATTAAAGCGTGCTCCATCTCAACTAAAAGCCTAAACTGATAGTTGGATACACATTAATGGTTATATGCTCACAAAATATATTGTGCAAATTTTTTATTTTTTATTTTTTGAAAAGAATTAAAAACATTACTTAAAAATGTGATTATAATTGAGAACTCAAAATCAAATCGGAAATAAATTGAAGTAGAGGCGGAGGAGTACGGACATTTTAAGCGTTAACCACCACCGACTCGGCTCCCAGCCTCTCTACGCATAACCATTAACCAGAGAGTCTCAGACCTCTCTCTCTCTCTCTCTCTCTCTCGTCTCGAAATCTCGTTTCTCGGGCCCGTTAATCACGAATATCTATGAAAATTTCACTTTCTCCTTCCAAAATTAGTTTTTCCATTTTAATTTTCCAACTTTCCGAATTTCACCCCGTCTTCCGCCATTAATTACACAAGTTTTTCCTCCCCATCTTTTAATGGTCAGCACTCTCTTCTTTGCTGAATGAGCGCAGGGAAGAGGCACATGAGTAACTGTGTTCTCTTCTTCCGGAACATGAGCTGCTAAAATCTCTTGTTCTATTACGCCTGATTCAATACTGTTAAGAAGCAAAATATACCAATGTAAGCAAATTTTTTTACCCCGTTAGATTTCGTAGCTGTTCTGATTTGTTATTGTTTTTTTTTTTTTTTTTTTTCCTGCGAATGTCGATAGCGTTTGCTGTTTTCAGTTCAATCAAATGCGATTAATGTGATCTCTGGGATCATTTCTGTTGTCATTTTGGATGTGGGGGTTTTGATTTGAACTCCGTATTCGATGTCTACCGGTTTATTCTATTTTATTTGAAAGTTTGGCTGAGGGAAAGCTAGGGTTCATATTTCTATGCATAAAATATAATATTTAGGTTGAAAAGTTTGTGTTTTTTTATTTACTTTTTTGGAGGGGGTGAAGTTTTACTATGTGAAACTGTTTTGTTGGGAGACCAGGTTCAGTGGCTGTGGATTGGGATCCATGCTGGATCTGTACTTTTTTTGTGGTTGTACACATTATAGGAAGCAGTTAAATTGTTTTTGTGTTGTTGCTTGACGAGTGGAATGTTTATTTATTTTCCGGTTTTACTTATCTTGGTGGTTGCGTTTGTCTTTCTGTTTGAATAATTTATTTGTTTCCCATGTCTGTTAGGTTCCATTATTATAAAGGAAGGAATTGAGCACATTGTCTAGGGCTTTAAAAGTTATGTCTTGAGGGTTGGATTTCATGGGGTGAACTCAAGGTATAATGGGTAGCTTCCGCCAGGATGAAGAGGATTGTCAGTTTTTTGATGCCCCGGAGAGTATTGTCCAGCCATCTGCTGCAAGTCCTAATTGCCTGGAGTCTAATGTATGGGTTGATCATTGTGTCTCCAGAAGCTACCAATATGATGTGTGGGTTAGAAGTCCCAAAAGTATTAGAGAGCGCCGCACGAAATTCCTTGAATGGATCGGATCTGATTTAGATTGCGGCTCTAGTGCCCTCTGCAGAGAGAATGATAGAATTAATGAGAGCACTGGGGCTGTGCTGAGAAACCCAATTTTTCAAGGTGAATTTTCTTGTAGCCAATCTTCTGTTCCAAGTTCATCTGTTGATGCTATGGGTTCATTAGAAGAGCCAGGTTCAAATGAGGCCTTCCTATGTACAAGTGCAAATCTGGATCATCAAATATGCGATACTAGCACTATGGCAGAGCACAGAATGGAAAGTAACCACCAAGGTATGGCATTAGAACAGCTGGTGGTGTCTGAAGAGTGTGAGAATTCTACAGGTGTACTTGGACATAGAGAGATGATACATGTAAATGGGAGGAATCGAAGGGTACCTAATAGAGTGAAGAGCGGTTGGTTGAATAGATTGCGTACTTTCAACTGTATCATGGACAGTGAATGGAGAACACATTATATAGAATCCTATGGCTCTATCCCTGTTCCCAGGGCTAGGGCTCAGAGGGTCAAGGTTCGCCACTGTAAGAAGAGGCTGAAGGAACTGTCTGCCCTTTTTATGGAGCAAGAAATTCTGGCCCATGAGGGTTCAATCTTGGCAATGAAGTTCAGCCTTGATGGGCAATACCTAGCCAGTGCTGGTGAAGATAATGTTGTGCGTGTCTGGCAAGTGGTTGCAGATGAAAGATCCAATGAAATTGATATTCCAGATTTGGATCCTTCGTGCATTTACTTCAAAGTGAATCATTTATCTCAACTGGAACCTGTGGTGAAAGAGAAGGATAGAATTAATAAATCAATGGGCATAAGAAAAACATCAGAATCTGCCTGTGTTGTTTTCCCTCCCAGAATCTTCCGAATTTTGGAAAAACCGCTGCATGTGTTCCTAGGGCACAATGCTGAGATTTTGGATCTTTCATGGTCAAAGAACAATGTATGGTCACCTTGTTCTGTTTCTCTTAAGTTGTATGATTTTTTAAGTTATTTTTTAGACTAATTTCTCATGCTTGTCCTTCACTGCAGTTTCTTCTTTCATCTTCAATGGACGAAACTGTCCGGCTTTGGCAAGTTGGATTTGATCAGTGCCTCCAAGTCTTTTCCCATAGCAATTATGGTACTGACCAAGTCTTTTTTTTTTTTTTTTTTGTACTTGTTTATTATGTTCAATAACTTAGCCTTGTGAAAGTTATTTTTCATTTCATCAAAGCTTATTTGTGCATTCTTTTTTTGTTTTGATGTGATGCAGTGACCTGTGTTCAATTTAACCCTGTAAATGACAACTACTTTATTAGTGGTTCAATTGATGGGAAAGTTCGAATTTGGGCAATTGATGGTGGTCAAGTAGTTGATTGGACTGAAATAAGAGACATAGTCAATGCTGTTTCTTATCGTCCTGATGGACAGGTCTGCTGATATTGCAACTCTTCCTTTAATCCTTACCACTGGGATATAGTTTTTGATAGTATAAAGACTGAATTAATATCACATTTGTTTTTAGGGTGGGATAATAGGCTCTACAACAGGCACTTGTCGCTTTTTCAGTGTCACAGGTAATGTTTCCCTTTGCGTTATTTGATGTCATTATGTAACGAAGTGGTCTGTTTGGTTGACATTCCACCCCTCTTATCCATGAATCATGGTTTTGAATTCCCCCATTTCACTGATGTGTACCATTGAATCAGTATACGTTGTTAAAGTATATGTATTATGAAACTGAACTTTTTCTATCCAAATTGTGTTCAGTACTCAATTGATCCTGCTAGATAATTCATTCATTGGATGATTTTTATTTTTATTTTTATTTTTGCGTTGCTGTGTCTTTGGAATTTACTGGTTGTATGTAGTTTAGTTTTTGTTAGACATGAATATGTAATACTTGAAAGTAATGAATGATTGAGTTGGTATAATGAGTTATGCTAGTGCTTGAATCTGTTAACGGACATATAATAATTTATTCTCTGGTTATAATATGGTATCTTCCCTGTTTAAAATGGTATATTTTCCCAATAGTTATGATTCATTGATTTCTAAGACAATATGTTTATGTTTCCCCCCTTACAGAGAATCACATCCAACTGGAATCAAATATTTGCCTGATCAGTAAAAAGAAGTCACCAAGCAAAAGGATTACTGGCTTTCAGGTTATTATACATTGTCTACACACACCTTGCCTTGATTTATTAGTCTCATCATCCATATTTTTCACACTCTGGATAAAATATCATTTAAATGCAGTTTGTTCCAAGTGACCCGAGCAAAGTAATGGTTACTTGTGCAGACTCTCAAGTCAGAATTATTAGTGGGAACAATGTTGTGACCAAGTATAAAGGTACCCTCATTTCCATCTTTTTGAATAAGCTGTTTAGGTATCTACGTTCTTGGGACCTTAGCTGGTGCATTACTTATTTATTCATCGTAATGGAATTAGAAATGCTCCAATTGGCATTCTTCGCAAGTTCTCCATATTGTTTCTATCACCAATATCTCATATGGTTTCTAATGGCATATAATTGGTCCTTGTCCCTTCCATTTGACATTCATTCTTCTTCTCTGTAGGACCCAGGAATGCAGGAAACCAGATTGTTGCTTCTTTCACTTCAGATGGAAAGCATATTATCTCTGCATCCGACGATTTCAATGTTTATATGTGGAACTGCATCAGTCCAGAAGAATCTTCTTTGTCTAAACCAAAAGTGAAGTCATTTGAGTTCTTCTCTGGCAATGCATCCATTGCGATACCATGGTCTGGCTTGAAAGTTGGTGAACCAGAGAATGGACAGTTATCACATCGAGTGGATGAAAACCAAAATAATGCATTGCCCTTCTCTATACCTTTGGACCAAGAATTGTTCTTAGAGGCTATTCCTAAGGGCTCTGCAACTTGGCCTGAAGAAAAACTTCCCACATCAAGTTCTCAGACTGTGCCATCTGCAATGTGTAAATCTCAATACAAATTTCTTAAAAACTCTTGCAAGAGTACATCCTCTAGTCATGCTTGGAGTTTAGTAATTGTTACTGCAGGCGAGGATGGGCGAATTAGGTCATTCCACAATTATGGATTGCCTGTCCCATTGTAAAGTACTGTTTGCGTCTCAGGAGATGAAACTATTGCCGATCGATGCTGCCTGAGCCTGCATGTGATCTGGGGTTGGGTGGACTCAACAGCTTCACGTTGTCATGTACAGGATGCACCATTTGAGAGTAGGTCTGTGAGTGGGTCCCTTCAGATGTTGTATGTCAAAAAGTTTTGGTGGGAGTTCTTTGACCTGTCCTATCTTTGGCAAGTAGCTAAGGCATATGCTTCACACTCGGCTCAATTTGGGATTATTTGATCTATATCTTCTGTCCCCAAAATAAATGGAGATATGCATGAGAGAGGGATGGGGATCTATGAAACGCATATCTGTTTGAGTTTCCCGTGGGACCTTGTAGAACCTCTTTCGTTTGGTCTCTGGGGTCTGCATCGAGACTGAGGTAAAGCTGGTGGCTGATATTTCCCCCAAGTGGGCAACTCTTCTTTTTGGGCGGGTTGGCTGATCTAAATGATTGAGGTGGTTGTCTGCCATTTTGGTCTATTCATGATGGGAAGAGCCATAAGCCTGTTGAGATGGTAAAGGTGGGCCATTTACTGCTGGATTCAACGTGCTGCAATGCAATGCTACTGTGCCTGATAATCCAGATTCTTCATGCTGGGTTGCCGATACTCTGCTTTCAGGCAAGTACGTTCATTTCCCCCCGTTGAATTAGCAGCTGACAATCCAAGTTGTTCATGGTGGAAGCCGCTCGACCATAGAGTTCACTTAAAACAATTTATTTATTTAGCACCAAATGGTGTCACGGTGGTAATTGTTGGTGGATGCCCTTGTAGGGAAGATCTAGGTTTTACAGTTTTGTACAGAACAAGTAGTAGTCTTCTTGTATATGCATATAGCCTGTGCAGTCTCTCATTCATAAAATTCCCTAAACCTTGAACCTGGCTAAAGGTTCCCAGAAATTTTGGCATGAAATTCTCATTTCTCAATGCACATTTTGTTCAATTGGAAGTGTGTGTCTGAATACTCCAAAATCCAAATGTATGGACCAAAATATTCACCACAATTTATTAACCTCTGCTCAATTGTGTTCTGCCGAGGATGTTTTCTTCAGTTGTTTGTTTGTGTAGAGTGGTAGTTGCAGTCCTTGTTTTAAGGACATTTTGTTGTTTGGGTCTGTGCTTCAGTATATGCTTCTGCTGGTCTGCATCTTTTCCCTATTCCCTGCAAGTTTAACTTGACACAAAAATGGTATTTCTAGGGGTTTGTTGTATCTCTCTGTGTATGTTAACTCGCGCTTCCTATACCAAGTTTGATTTATCAAGTCAAACTTTTTATATGAGTTTGATTTGTCGAGTTAAACTTCTTATAATGAGTTTGATTAAACTTGATCTATCAAGTCGAGCTTTTTATAATGAGTTATATTGAATCTGTCTGTTATGACAAGTCGTACTTCCTATTATGAGTTTGATTGCACTTGATCTATCAAGTCGATCTTCTGTTTGATCAAATCTGTTGATTATGGCAAGTCGAGCTTCCGATTATAAGTTAGGTCGAATAAGTTAGTGAGAACTTATTTTTTTGGTCGAAATTAGTGAGAACTTATGTCATCGAATACATTCATATTTAGGCAATTTTTTTTTGATAATTTACATAGATTTTATTGTGTGGCACGATATTGTGGGTATAGTGGAATGCGAATTTGCAGAAAATGTATTCAAATGCCACAAAGCTTTAAGCTATTATTATTATTATTATTATCCAAACAAAGATCACAAGATCAAGCTGAATGAATTCACGAATTCAACTATACATCCTAAACATTGCAGGGGGAAATCTCGATCAAGCAAGATACTGCAATGGCGATCAAAAAAAAAAAAAAAAACAAAACAAAAAGAAAAACAAAATTTTAAAAATTCACAACGTCAACAATTCCAATTGAAAATGGTTGCGATTCAATACCTAGAACAGTCCTCTCCACCGACAAAGCAACATCGATGATGATTGACGGAAAGAGAAACGGAGCATTAATCGTTCACTGATTTACCGGCGGTTTCGTCGATCGAAAACTCGTCAGTTGTTATCGGCGGGGACAACGGCGACGGCGTTAGGGCCAGCGTGAGAAGAGCCGTCCCTAGACTCTTCGTCTTCCTCCTCCTCCTCGTCGTCTTCGGTGTCGTAGGTGGTGAGGTTGACGCACGAGAAACGCTCTAGCGACGAGAAGAAGGCGGCCGCCACGCTCGAGCCGAACCACCGGGCCAGGCCGTCCAGCTTATCGTACGGTACGACGCTTGTATTCTCCATAGCGCAGAGATGAGACTTTCGATGGATAGAAGAAGAAGAAGCCTTTCTCTCCGTCTTTCAGCGATTTAGAGAGAGAAAGTGAGGAATTCTATGGAGAAATGGTCAATGGCAAAAATGGCGGGTTGGCTGACGCGGGGAAATTACCCATTAATATTACAACTGACAACAGGTATTTAACTGTTTAACTACCAAAGCCTTTTCTTTACTATGATCCCTGAATTATTGTTAATTATACAATATATTCCTTTGTTGTTAATTTAAAAAATAAAAATGTGATTCCTTATTAATGACAAACATTTATAATTAAGCCTTTTAGAGCAGGTGTCAATATTCTTCTAAAAATTCTTTAATAACGTAAATAAAATTGGAGTTGGATTTACTACCACAATGACCATATTTATAATTTGTAGAATAATTTAAAATTAGATTTTTTTTAATACTATTGACTCATAGTATCTATTCTATACTTTCTATATCTATTGCAGTCCAAAGACTCAAGATCCCATCACTGGAGTTCTATCTTGTGACCTTCCCTCAAGGAGAGCCCAGAGGTGTCATCTGAGCACAAGGTGTTTGGTTAAAAATGAGTACTACATGTACTCTCTAATCTTACATTCTTACTCCCTAAATTATGATAAGTTATTTTTTCAGATCTCAATATAAATGTTTACATTAAGAATTTGTATGTAAAATTACAAGTTGAAAATATAAAATGAGAATACATGTAACATTTTCTGCTAAAAATTAGATTTCTTGAAAATTACATTGTCGCATTGCATAATCAGCAACAATTAATTTCTCGTTTTTGTTTTCATTATTTTCCACGTGGAAGTAAAGGCCACGTTAGACTTTGGGATGGATAAGAAGCAAAGGCAATGAGCGACGCACAGAGCCAAGAAAATGGCGTTTCTCTCTCCTTCCCCGACGCAGAAACCACAGTCTCAGTATCTTCGCAACTACCCAAAGAAATTTTCTCACTATACTCCTCTGCTACACCGGCCGCCGCCGCAGATCAGATGTTCAGGTCAAGGGTTTCCTTAATCTTTGGTTCTTTTCCAAGATTCTGTTTTTTTTTTTTTTTTTTTTTTTTTCATAAGATGTGATTGAGGTTTGGTGTTCATATGAGCAGCTTTCAGTGACAGCTCGAATGCCAAGGAAAGCACATCTGAATTCAAGGAAATAAGAAATGTAGCTTGTGGGATTCTTGCTGCTTGGGCAATCAGTGCTGTTTCACCTGTTATTGCTGCCAGTCAAGTGAGAAATGGTTTTGTGTTCTTTTAAGATTCAGTTCTAGCAAATTTATGCTGTTGAATATATGTTTCATTTGACTGTATGCCTGTTTATCCCCTGCAATTTAAGTTGAAAGCTGTGAAAATTTCTACAAACCAGCCAAGTATATGCTAGAATTATATTGATTTTGGGGTGTTTGGAAATAGTGTTAGTTGATTGGGTTAATAGGTTTGACTAGTTGATAACATTAGTCAGGGCCGGTTTTTAGTCTTGTGTGGCCCGTTCTTAAAATAAATGAGGCCCAAAAAATAAAAGGATTTTTTTGAAAAATGAAAAATGTCACAAGCTAGAACCAAACCTCAAACCTTCCAAAGGAAACATAATAGTCACATGTTTCTACCATTCCTCCATACAATCTTTTTAGATTAATTGTAATTTTTTGTCTTTTAATATCTTAACTAGCTAAGTAAAAATTAAATATTGGGCCCTCTAAAATTTGGGACCCTGTGTTGTTGGGCTGCTTGCACAGTCTAAAATCCGGCCTTGAGATTAGCTGATTGTATAAAAGTGTTTAGTAAATTAGTTGTTAGCTTATAGCGGATTACATGCAAATGATTTTCTCAAAAACAACTTTGAGCAACTTTTTGAATTTTAGCATTTTGGAGTAATAAGTTGTTACAGAAAATTAATTAATCAAACACTCATATTAATTGTTTAACCAAGTCAAACAGCAAATAGTGGTCAAATAAGTCAAAATTAACTGATAAGTTAACTATTTTACCAAACAAGGACTTTGTGTTGGAAGGCTTGTAGTTAGCAAGAATATTTTTATCTTTGAGACCCTTTGCTTGAAACCTCTTGCACTTGAGTTTTTCATAATTTCTCCCCTAAAAGTTATTGGCTTATTGCATATGTTGACCATCATTAAAAATGGAAAAAGCTGGTTTCAGCTTCTATCCTTTGCAGACATGCAATTCTCCTTTGAAGTTTACACAGTGCTAGGACAACCCCAGCCAAGTTAGTCAGACTGTTGACTTGATAACTAGAAGGTTATAAGTTCGACTCCTAGCGGGAGCGGTCTGTTATTCTTCTTGGTTTGAGCCGGTCAGTTATAGGCAAACAAGGCTGATCTACCTCCTTGTGGTCCTTTGCCGGCTAGGGTCACAAGGCAGGGTTTACCCTGTGCACATCCTCGAGTAGTGGCTGTGAGTTTCCCTTGTCATTCAAAAAAAAAAAAAAAAGTTTACACAGTGCTAGAAATGAACTGTAAAAGCTGCTAGTTCTTGGCGGTTGAGCAAATGCATATTGTATTTGGGGAGTTGGAACATTTGCAAAACACCCCATGGTTACAGGGGGGATCATCAATCATGTGTATCCTTTTGCCATTTTGGCTTATCCAAGTGTATGGCCTTTCACCTAATTTCCTCGGATTTGCAGAGGTTGCCTCCTTTATCGACAGAGCCAAACAGGTGTGAGCGTGCTTTTATTGGCAACACGATAGGTCAAGCTAACGGTGTTTATGACAAACCACTCGATCTGCGCTTTTGTGATTACACGAACGAGAAAACCAACCTCAAGGGGAAGTCTCTCTCAGCAGCACTTATGTCAGACGCCAAGTTTGATGGTGCAGACATGTCTGAAGTTATAATGTCAAAAGCTTATGCAGTTGGAGCTAGCTTTAAGGGTAAGTATATATATGTTGCTGTTGTAGTTCAGAAATTAGAACAATTGATCCACGAAGACGAGATTTGGAATGCAAAACTCTCTTTCATTTTGCAGGCACAGACTTTTCCAATGCTGTTCTTGATCGCGTTAACTTTGAGAAGGCCGACCTGCAAGGAGCTTCGTTTAAGAACACAGTGCTATCTGGATCCACTTTCAACGATGCTCATCTTGAAAACGTAGTCTTTGAGGACACCATCATCGGCTACATTGATCTTCAGAAGCTCTGCACAAACAAAACAATCGACGAAGAAGGAAGGGCTAACTTAGGATGTCGATAGCCTCGTGTTATGACCTCAATGGGAGGGAGAGACATATATATCATCTGAAGTTTTGCTACAGTGAGTATAACTAAATGATGAATGTGAAGGAAAATTTGAATTGAATTGAATTGCTTCAGTTCTTTGTGTTTACTGTAAAACCTTGCTTCAGATTCAATTTGTTCTTCTATATGTAATTCATTCTATACATTTGCTCCCCTTGAGGAGATAGATGATGAGTAATAATAGATAAGAATGCTCTTGAAAAACTCCAAACTCGTGTATTTCAGATATGAAAATTCTAAGGTATTGATCCGTGTCGACTATTAAATACAACCATCCATAGTATTTCTGGGTTAAAATATGTCATATAATTGAAGTATGTGCTACAATTAAAAGGTAAAATGTATAATATTTGTTAATTTTATTTCACATTAATAGGACGTTTAATACTTTCCGATCAATTAAATTCTTGAAAAAATGTTTTCAATAAATATACTTTGTATTTGATAGGAATAACTTTACTAGGAAAATTAATTAATATGTTTGATTCGTTTAAATTTTTTCAAAAACAAATTTAAAATTTCTATATCTTTGTTACATAAGAAATTTTTAATATGATAATCGACACTAAAAATAATAAATATGTAATTGAATAACCTTGACAGATTCATTCTTATTAACCTAAACTTTCTAAATGTGAAAATAATTTTCTCTTTTTTAAATTCTCAGATAAATTCCAACTTTTAACTTCGAAGAAGTGATGAAATGGATGAAGTATAACTCTAGTGAATTTCAATTAGATTTTTAGTCGATATTTAGGGAGTGTGAGATGTTGTGAAGCTCCCAGTAGAAAGTCTTGCCGCGAATATTTACAGCAGCGACGCCGTCGCCCACTGTTCCCTTCTCTCTCTCTCTCTCTCCCCCACCGCTGATACTTTCTTCTTTCTCTCTCTAACTTTTTCCGGATTCTCTTAGGGCTTTCGTAAGATTATTTTAGGGTTTTTGGTTTAGTATTTTCGATCCAATCATGGCGGACTGGCAACAATTCGTACAATCGGTGGTCTTCGGCCTGATTTTCTCTTACCTTCTCGCGAAGCTTTTCTCTGTAATCTTCGCCTTCCGCGACGAGAATCTTCGGATTTCTCGGAGCGACTCCGTAGATGAGGATTCGAAGGCGGTTGATGCTCCGTTGAAGACTGGTAATGACGCGGACCTCCTCGGTGATGAGGTTTTGGAAGAGAAGGAGCCGCTGATTGGAGAAGAGGATGAGAGCTCGACGGTTGACGGCGATGATAGCGAGGACGATGATTGGGAAGGAGTTGAGAGTACTGAGCTGGACGAGGCGTTCAGTGCTGCAACTGCATTCGTGGCTGCCACGGCGGCGGATCGGTCGGCGCTGAAAGTGTCGAATGAGTTGCAGTTGCAGCTATATGGATTCTACAAGATTGCTACCGAGGGACCTTGCAGTGCTCCCCAGCCTTCGGCTCTGAAAATGACTGCTCGTGCCAAATGGTAATGCACTTGATTTTACTCTACCATTTATAGATTTTGATTATTTCGAGTTACAAAGTGTTCTAACAACTAAAAGGTACGGAGTAATTTTTTGTGCACTTTAACGAAGTGAATGTGAAAATTCTAGACTTTAGATATTTGTAATATTCAAAAACAATAAATATCTCAACCTTTTGAGATTCTTCAGTACAGAGGAAGATAATAGTGTGACTATTAAGATAAAAAGAGTTTCTAGAAGTAGTAAAGCTCATCTCTGTCCAGGCTGCGGGATACATAAAACTCATAGTTATTCTACAGAATTTGAATATTGAAACCTAGGAGAAATTTTTCCCCTCTGTAATTGACATGATTTTTTCTTCCAATAGAATATTGTAATAGTGTTATTGGTAGATGTGGTACTCCAGAATTTCAGATCACTTCAGTGTCTATAATTACTGTTTGATGCATTACTTTTTCTCTTTGGTTTGCCTTAGTGACTACTTACTAAAATATTTGTATTGATCTCTCCTGGTTTGCAAGCTGAAATATTTGTATCATAATATGTTAGGCAAGCATGGCAAAAGTTGGGAGCTATGCCTCCTGAAGAAGCCATGGAAAAGTACATTGACATTGTTACTGAGTTGTATCCTACTTGGGCTTCTGGTGCAGCATCATCTGTAAGGCCAACACCTGTCTTTTAATTTTTTTTTTTTTAATTTTTTTTCTAGCTTAGTATTACTTAACTTTTTCACTGTACTGTATATCTCACATTTGTCCTCTCTCTCTCTTCTTCTTCTTCTTCTTCTTCTTCTTCTTCTTCTTTTTCCTTGTATTCTCAAAAATGCTGACAGAAGAAGAACAGGGAAGAAAGTGGCAGTGCAGATTCTAAGGCTACAATGGGACCTGTTTTTAGCTCCTTCATTTATGAAGAGGAATCTGAAACTGATTTGTAAGCTTCTAGAACAAAATCTTTCAGCTTGTCTATATTTTTTAATACACAAGACTCAAAAAAAAAAAAAAAAAAAAATTAACTTCAAACAGGGCTTTGTGCTTTTGGTGGTTAGAAAAAATTGATAGATGATTATGTGTTTTTGCACCATTAATTAAGAATGTTAGGTTACTTCCTTTTTAAAGCTTTTCTGATGTCTTTGCAGGAAAATGGATGCTATACATGCCTTTGCAAGAGAAGGAGACGATAAAAACTTGCTCAAATGTATCGAGAGTGGTGTTCCTGTGGATCTGAAGGGTTAGTTGTTCAAATGGTTCATATATTCTCATATCTATTTCCATCGGCTTTCTAGAAATATATATTGTGTCGTATTACACCCTTGATTCCTATTGATATCAGCAATGGTAGTAGTGATTTGTTGCTGCAAAATTATGCAGAATACTTATCTCTGTTTTAAGGATTACTTTCTCTCAAAAACAGAAGGGGTTGGGTGGTTGAAACTGAGCTCTTAGACTAATGGTACAATGAGCTCTTAGTTTCTTTGGCTCAATCATGTACCTCCCTTTTTCCCTTTTCAGGGAATTTCCAAATACAGACTAGCAAGGTTATCTCTAATGGATAATGTTTTCTTAAAACCATTTCAGACAGCGAGGGTCGTACTCCATTGCATTGGGCTGTAGACCGTGGCCATCTAAATATCACTAAAGTGCTTCTAAGCAGGAGTGCCAATGTAAATGCAAAGGTAATATTAGACATCCATTCCTTTATGCTCCCCTTTATCAAATTGGATTATTTCTTCCTAGAAAACGCTAAAGAAGATAGAGACAAAAAGTTTTATTAGTAATAGTCTGCTCTTATTGGTTGATTTTGCAATTATTTCAAAAAGGTATACTTGAATTCGTTGCATATGGTCACATATGATTAATCCAATTGCAAAGAAGTGCACAGTTTATAGTGCTTAGTTGCTGTCAGTGCACCATACTCTTTAAGAATTAAGATCTGATATCTTAATTCCAATGTGCTGTAGCCTGTAAGTGTCACTGAGCTTATTAAGGTTCAGTTCCTCAAAACTGTGACCAAGTCCTAAAATTTCTTCTTTGCATCTTTTTCAATGAAGTCAAACCTTAAATTAGATGTTTCTTCTCTGAAATCCTTTTTTTACAGTTTTGAAAGTTCTGTGGTTTTTCTCAATTGAGCATTAGATGGCGAAGAACATTTAGTTAAAAGTGTCATGTGCGGGGATGAGATTAATGCCTTTTGCACAGCTCAGCTGAGTTATTCACTATGTTCACCTATTTGTTCCAGTTTTGATTAAAGTGTTTTATTCTTATATTTCTCTATGAAGGATAATGAAGGGCAGGCCCCATTACATTACGCGGCGGTTTGCGAGAGGGAAGATATTGCAGAGTTGCTTGTGAAGCACAATGCTGACATAGATAACAAGGATGATGACGGAAATTGCCCTCGCGATCTGTGTGATTTGAAGTGGCCATGGCTACAGCACACAGCCACCGAGTGATGTTTTTCCTCCACTACTGATAATTCTTATAGATGTGTACATGCTTTATATACATCTCGGCAGTGGATTGATTGCCTTTTAATGGACTTGACATATAAATCCCTCTGGTATATTTTTTAGTTGTTTTGCTTAGTCTAACATCCGGTTCTGGTCCCCAATTTTATATTTTATTCAGAAAACGGATATAGACTGATTGTTTTGTAGTAAGGGGGAATGAAAGACTTTTTATAGACTGAATTCTTGCTTCTATTCTTTCTCACTTACTCTACAGCAAAATGAATTCTAATTTGAAGAGAAAAAAATAACAATAAAAATCTCTCCTGTTGACATTTTGATACCATGCCATTTTGGATTGTGGAATTGGATTTCTTTTTTTTTTTTTGGTATACCTAGAGTTTTCACCGTTGGATACACGGATAGAGTGATTAGTTCTCTCGCTGGATTGTGGAATTGGATTAGTAGCTAAAGAAGTTGGATTTAAAATTAAAGGATTTGAATTTGTGTTGATAGATGTAAGTAGCATGTGTTTCAAAAAAAATGAAGGGGGGAATCGTGGCCTTCTCAGGAAGGATTCCACTCTCCTCTTTCTGGTATTGGGAAGAGAAACCAAAAATACACAAGATTATCCAACATTAGCCTGCCTATCCTAGGATTCCTAGGCATCAATTTCTCATACTAGTGATAAAATAAAGAAGAGGAAGAAGAAAGAAAATCATCTACAGCTCATCATGAGAGTCGTCGTCGTCACTGCTTCCACTACCTCCAGGGGCTCCGCCAGATCTCTGGTATACAGCGGTGATAATTGGGTTGCATACAGCCTCTACTTCCTTGAGCTTTTCATCATAATCCTCCTTCTCAGCGTTCTGATTGTCATCCAACCATTCAAGGGCCTCTTTTGTTGCTGTCTCAATCTTCTCCTTCTCCTCGGATTCTAGTTTATCTGCTAGCTTGTCCTTGTCGTTGATCTGGTTCTTCATGTTGTAAACATACGTCTCCAAGCTGTTACGGGCATCAATCCTTTCTTTTACCTTCTTGTCCTCCTCGGCAAACTCTTCAGCCTCCCTCACCATCCGCTCAATTTCCTCTTGGCTCAGGCGTCCTTTATCGTTGGTGATGGTAATCTTCTCAGATCGCCCAGAGGCCTTGTCTTCGGCTTTAACATTCAAAATGCCGTTGGCATCAACCTCAAATGTAACTTCAATTTGAGGTGTTCCTCTGTTCCACAGGATTATTATGATTTCAGTTGAGAGAGAGTAGAAAGGCAACCCATTATCATTAATCAACTTGGGAAGAAAATAAATACTAATCCTTACC